TTCAAGTTGACGGCTTTCACGACGGGACGGATTACAAAACAACTATTAGTAGAGCCAAATTTGAAGAACTAAACTACGATTACTTCGAGCGAATAATCGAGGCGATGGATATTACACTATCTGACGCAAAGTTTAATAAAGAAAAGGTGCTGAAGTAAATAAAAGGGTTCAATACCAATTCTATAATTTTAACAGCATTAGCAGAAAAATGTTGCCGAGGTATAATAGGCCTCGGCGAAAAAGTGTAAAACAAAGTTATCGACATTCGATTTTTTCAGAACTTAGTAACTTTATAAAGAAGATAGTAATTATCAGAACCCAAGATCTAATAGTTAAAAAATAATCAGTTTTTGTTGAAAAAATTAATATAATATAATATTAGTCCTCTTCACCATTTTACACATACATCTTTGAAATATCGTTTGGTCGTTTCTGTCCATTTAAGATTCCAATGATTGAAGTTGTTTAACTAGCATAACGTTTTTTAAATTTTTATTAATTGTTATAAAAGAATATTGCTTGAAAACTTTCGTTAAATCGCATTTTCATGTATTAATCATAATTTCAGGTTGACGAAGTCGTATTGGTTGGTGGATCAACTCGAATTCCAAAACTGCGAAAAATGATCCAAGAGTATTTCAACGGCAAAGAACTGTATAAAACCATAAATCCGGATGAGGCTGTGGCGCATGGGGCTGCCGCACTTGCTGTTGATCTTAGTACTGGTGCATCTTCAAAAGTAAATACAGTTTTTGCTACCTTTTCAATAAAAAAATTTAATAAATGCTTTATGGACATGAAAATTAAAGACAAAACTGCACTTGCATTACATGAGGCATTTTTTATGAAATTTTTGGTAGTTTCTTCATTGGAAAAACAAATTTCTATTTGACATTATGAGGAAGACTTTGTTGTAAATCAACATTGATTCCATAAAATAAATTTGTCAAGTAATAAACGACAAGACTTGTCCAATATTTTTGTATATTTTCGAAATTCAATTCAGAATGTGTCTAGCAGTACTATGTGAAATTCTAGAATGTAAAATTTTATGATCTGCGGCAATAAATATTGCGTAATGGGAGAAAATAATTGATTTCTTGATTGTGCACTCATATATGCGTTGTAAAAAGTTAAATTTATTATTTATTATCTCTTTCAGATAAAAGAGTTTACTCTTTATGATATTGTGCCTTTACCACTCGGCATCAACGTTGTTGGTGATATCATGTCTGTGGTTGTTAACAAAAATTCAAAAATTCCTTCTAAACACTACAAAACAGTCACCACTGTTGCTGATAATCAAACATTTATTAAATTTTCGGTTAGTATTATTATCATTTCTAGTCTGTGTAATTTGAAATTAGCCTTTGACAAATTGATTAAATTAGAATTGTTTACTTCTATTGGTATATGTATATCTTTCGTATCTGAGAAGTTGGCACAGGATAGGCTTAACGTTATGGCCTCCACAAAAGAAGGCATATATATATATGTTTGACAATGTAATGGCATAATGTCACAATATTTTCACAATTTTCTTCATTATTCATAATACAGGTTTACCAAGGCGAAAGAACGTCTACCATGCACAATAAACACTTGGGCTCCTTCAGTTTATCGGGAATTTCTCCTGCACCACGACGAATACCCCGTATAGATGTCTGCTTTGATATCGATTCCAGTGGAATTTTAACAGTTACGGCGAAAGATAAAATTACTGGAAACAAAAATAATTTACAACTCGAAGCTGCTAAATTGAAACTTACCCTGGAAGAAATAGAACTTATGGTAAGGTTTGAGGTTTATCATGAACCACAGAACCTGTGGCATTACCTGGCTATTAAAAAAGTAGCATAGATGTGGAACATTTCTTAACCTAACCAATATTAGCGTTTAAAAAGCTTCAATATATAAAACAATATTGATTTATTTCTTGCGCTTTGTGATCAAATGGCAATGCATATAAATTCCACATCAAACAAAATAATTTGAAATTCAAAAATGTATTCTAACTCTCCTTAGGTGCAAGAGGCTGAAAAATATAAATTGGATGATATTGAGCTCAGAAACCTCGCAGACATGAGAATAAAGCTGGAAACTTTGGTTTTCAACGCAAAGGAATCCACCATGTCTCTTGATTCACAGGAAAAATTGAACAAAGGAGATAAATATATATTATTGAATAAATGTGAATCAGTTTTTCATTGGCTAAACAAAAACAAGGTGACTTTTATTTTTTGTTGGTAACAAAAACAATTTTATTTTATTTATATAAATGCAAAATTCTACACAAATTACAAATTCAGTTAAATTCAACCAGTCTTGAGTACGAGACGTTTAAAAGTGTATTGAAATCTTATACATTTCTTTCAGAATGCTTCGAAGGAAACTCTCTTTCAACAACAAATTGAATTTCAGAATTGCTGCCACCCAATATTCATACGAATATGTAGGGATAAAAAGGTATTTCAAATAATTTTTTTTTCAAGGTTTCTGGTTAAAAAAGTTTTTCGGTTAAAATTTATTTCTCGAAATAAACAGACAAAACCAGCAGGTTCAGGATACGTAGAAAAGAAAAATCTTGCTTGATTTATGAATTCTACAAAATTTCAATATAAATTTGAGATTTCTCGGAATTGGTCAGCTAACAAGAGAAACCAAATTAACTTTACTGATAGTTGGATGTTAGTGGTTCTTGTTCATGGCCTCGCATAGAGCAAAGGCGTGTATACGTGAGGCCTAAGAAAAACACGTCATACACAGTGTTTGCATGAAATTGAATAAAATGGGGGATCCGATGGTTTCAAATAAATTTGGACAAAATAAAAGTGATATCTCATTTTTGATTTCATATGGAAACTGAAGTTTATGGCCTGTGTGAGTTTACTAGAAGAATTTAGTGATTAAAGCTAATTTAAAAGTACAGATTCTTAAAGTTGTCTTCAAATTGACTGTTTGTGAATTTGGAGAACATTCCGCCTAACATTCACCTTTTTATATGTATTTAAAGAATGAAAGTGATAACGAACAAAAAAGAAATGATATGGATACAACTTGTTTTCCGCTAATAAAAAAGAAACAAGAAGAACAGGCAAGTTGTGTTCAAATTAATATTAAAAAATCTCGTATATTGTTGGAATAAAAAATTAAGTTTGTCAGATTCCTTCCTAAAATATCATGTTTATATATTAAAAAATAAATGGAATACTCATATAAAAAATTATATATTCATTTCATATATATCTAAGTTAAAATCGGAGCTTTTCTAATGTTATTTTGTTCAATAACCTCATTTCAATTATACAATAATTATGTTCAATGTATTAGCATAAATCCGCTAAAATGTATACTATCGGATTGAAGCCATTATGTATAACATAGGACTGAATGTTTCATTGGTTATTTATGATATTCTAAACTGTAGATTTGAATCTCAAAATTGGCTATTACATTTTAGGCGAAAATGTTGAAACAGCAGAAAAAAGAAGAAGAAGAATACAAACAACTTCAAAAAGCAAAGAATGATGTAAAAGGCTTCATCAAAACTGCAGAGAGCAAAGTCAAATGGCAGTGCTTCGAAAAGTTTGTCAATGAGAAATCAGCGATTCTTCAAAATTGTCAAACTTTCAGGAACTGGATCGAAGAAAACAAGGTCCTATCAGTTTTTCTTTACAGATCTTCATTGATCTATCAACTTTTCTGTCATATATTATGTATTATGCGAGGGCATAAAGAACTAGGTCTACTATTCCAAGGCTTGAGCAACATAAAGTTGAATATGTAATTTTTATTGACAGAAATTAAATGAATACTATGACTATGTATACGAACACGTGGGTTTTTAAATTTATTTCAAGAAATATCAATTTTGATAAAAACTGATGAAACAGACAATCATCAACATTTTTTCCACGTTGAAATCGCTGCGCAAAACCTCACCAAGCATGTATTAAAATTATTTTTATATACGAAATTAGATCATAAATTTTAATTGATTTGGATTCAGAACGCAACGCCAAATGATATTTATGACAACTTGAAGAAGTTTAGAGAATGTAGTGAGAACATTTTTGAGAAAATGGAGGCAGCAATTGAGGTATGAACAAAAAAAATTGGCAATGTTTATTTTAATAACATTAGCAAAATATTATTAGAGAATGATTGCTATTTACAGAATGATTAATATTAATAAAATATAATAGCTAATAAAATATTTAACTAGGCTAGTGAAGCAGTAGTCGCCATTACGTCACTTGTTCTATACGAGCTAACAATTTTAACGGATAATGATTTTATTTTTTTCCCAAAATATTGGATTCATGGCCAATACTAGCATTTAAAATGTTTTGTTATATAATTTATTCCGCTTACGCTAATGTTACCGCATTACTAATCATGGATAACACGAAAACACGCGAAAAAAAAATAGTAAACTGTCAGATTAGAATTTGTTTTCATTCGTATTTTGCGATTCTCCGATTTCGATATTGCCGATAGAATAAACCCTCAATAAATAAATAAATCTCAAATGAGTAAAATTCATTTTAGTTCAAAATATTTTCTCATGTGTCCGTGGCCGAAGGACATTTTGGAAAATTGCACTGTTTAAATTAGCGTTTTCATGTGTTGTATTGCTCCAAAAAATCTACTGTATTTTTTGTTCAGTTTTTAGTCTCACATTCACTCTCGTATTCTCAATTGGAAACTTGAGTTTTGGATTTACTCCTTTACTATTCTCGTTTCTCTTGATAACCATAGTAAAGTATTTTTTTACACGGAATTATGGTCATCATAAGGGAACAGGGGTTCCCAAGCTTTTTTCAAGTCGACCCCAAAGACAACTCTCAAGTGTCCAGTGCAACCCCAGGTCAATATATATATTTTTCATGAAACTTTAGAGCTTCTTTCACTGGCCTTTTGTGTTTGGTCATGTGGTGGTATTAAGTAAAATAAGCTAAAAACCAAACATTGATGTCACAATGGGCACCTACATTTTCTATAGCATAATGCTATGGTTATGATATCTATGGGCCAGTTTTACAGAGAGCCATGATGCAAACTGCTAAATTTAACATGGTTTGTCAATTCTTAGATGATTTGTACATCCATCTTCTACCATACCTCAGCGACCCCATGATCTTTTTGCGACCCTACCTACTTATCACCCAATTTGGGGTCGCGACTTTTGGTTTCGGAACCCCTGATCATAGAATAAAACGTAAATGTGGCAGGGAGAATTTGCGATATACTATACTCAATAGAATACTAAAACCTTGAATTTTTTTGCATCCCTGTATCAAGTAAAAATATGTTTGGGGAGACGACGTATGAATCCGTTTTCAAATAGTTAATAGGTTGGTTATTGTAGTTATTGGCCAAATATTTCCTTCACTAATAGTCTAATACTAATGAAACAATCAATTTTATTTCCAGTAATCCAATCTGGATATTTTCACAAAAATGATAGAAAGTAATTTTAAACTATCCCTGAATAATACTTTAGAACCCAACATTTTTCGTCAAAATCTTGGATTTTTTTGTCAATTCACGGAACACCATATACCTGGGTACACATTTGTGTGACTTTTGACATTCTATTCATAAACTTGAGCAATGCTCTCTTGTATTTTCTAGATGGAACAGCATGCAGAATTTCAGACGGATGATGATATGATAGCGCAAGCAAGTGACGAGCGCAATGCTCTCGAAAAATGTGCATACACCATCAAACAATCCATAACGGGTTCAGAGTATAAAGACAAACTAGAAAACAATGTTAAAGAAGAAATCACTTCTGGATGCGACAGAATTTTAGAGTGGCTGGATGAAAATCAGGTTTGGATTGGCTCTGTATGTCTTGCATTATAAGCTTCTTTGAATAATTAGGTGATTAAAGATAAATTTAAATTTGTTCCTCTCTCTGAAGTTACCTGAAACGAGAAATATGACCCAAACAGTTGCTTTGAAACTAACATACGAAGTGAAGATTTAATATTTGAACAAAATATAACTTAATATTAAATTTGTAAACTAACAATTTTTTTCTGTAGATATAAATGTACATAAATTGTTGTAAATCACCAATGAAACAGATCTCAAATCTTTATTGAATTTGATTGGTGAATGTTTGACTTTTGTCTATCGTTCATTTCTTTATGTATGTTCAAAGAATGCAAGTGTCGATGAATGCACAATCAAAAGAACTGAATTGGATAGAATTTGTCTTCCACTAGACAAAATAAAACAAGAAGAACAGGCAAGTTGTGTTCAAGTTATAATGTTGCTACTCTGAATCCCCAGGCTTTTTTTGTACTAATGTCCATTAAATAATATGATTCCAGTTTAAAATAATACATTTTCGTACTCTGTAAAACAAAGCTTTGCGATTTCTTTATGAATACTTTTACTAACAAACAATATTTCATTTATACAAATAATAGGTTTATTGAATGATAAAATATACGCTAATGTAAACATTCGGATTTGATCCACCTATTTATATTTTGAAACTAACTGCCTCGTTGAATATTTATGTGATCCGCAACTGTAGATTTGAATTCCGAAAAGCTTATACCATTTTAGACAAATGTAACAATCAATTTTGAAACAGCAGAAAAAGAAAGAAGAAGAACGCAATCTACGCCAGGAAGCCCAGGATGATTTGATACGTTTTATCAATAATGCTGAGAACAAAGCCAAGCTCAAGTGTTTTGAGATTACCAATGCAAAATCGGCTATTTTTCAAAATTGTCAAAAACTGAGGAACTGGGTGGAGGAAAACCAGGTCTTAATACTTTTTATTTACTCATATTCAATGACTTATAACCTGTTCTGTCATAGATTATGAATTATGCGAAAACAATATATATTCGAAGGAAATTCTAGATATTAATTCAAGGCTTAGCAACATACCATTGAAAATATAATTGTTATCAATAGAAATTAAATAAATACTATGACTGTGACGCACATCAGGGTTATTTATTTGTTTGTTACCAATTACCAATTTTGACAGAGTAAACATAAACTTTATTATGAACAGATAACTTTTTTACCTTGTAATCGTTTGAAAAAGTTAGTTATATATATCGAGTCAGATTACAAATTTTGATTGATTTGGATTCAGAGCACAAAGAGAAATGATATTTGTGATAAAATGCAGGAGTTTCAAAAATGGAGTGAGAAAGTTTTTAAGAACATGGAAGAAGCCGTAAAGGTATGGAAAACAAAATCGGCAATACCCAATGCAATAACATTAGCAAACTATTATTGGAAAATCATTGCTAATTGCACATCAATATAATTAAAATAACATACCTGAAATAATTAGTTCGTTGATCCTGACATGATCGATTTTGAAGCTTAAAAAAATATTGTTTAATATTATTTGTTCACAGAGTATAAAAACAATTTAATGTAAACCTCATACTTAAAATGACTTTACCAAGTTATATTATTTAAATAAGCAACTAAAACACAAAAGCATAAATTAACCTAACTCCAATGAATACCCTAGTTAACATGTTGTAATATATTTTGTATACATAGGCAGAAAATCAAAAAGAACTTCAACTGATTTCTGAATCAAAACGAAAACTTAAGGAATGTGCTGACAAAATATCTGAAGCTGTATCTGATTCAAAATACGTTGAATATTTAAGCGACGCAGAACTAGAGAAAATAAATTGTTACTGTACTAATACATCTACGTTGCTTGAGAAATCATCAGTGAGATTTAATATATACCGGATATACATAAGCCATGAAATCTGTCTCAAAATTTAAAACTTCATCTTCTGCATGATTTTATCATTCAGTAAACAGTATCAATACTTCACGAAATTTCTCTTGCAGAATCCGAGTAGACAAGAGTTGGATAAAAGGAGAAAGTCAATTGAAAAAAACTGCTATTCAATTTTAGTTCAAATAAACAACCAGGTGAAATAAGATCATCGGCTTTTTTATTTCGCTGACTAAAAAAAGAAGGAAAAATAATTTCGGCAAAATTCTAAAATCCCTTCTTCTTAACTGCTTCTGAAACTTGTAAAACATAATTTTCAACGAGAATTGAGCTAGGCTATTTTTTATAAAAATTGCACAGTTTTGATTTTGAACCACTCAAATTTCATGAATTCACTTGATCATATTGTACTAATTCGAATTGTTATTGATCTAACACTTCACATATTTGACCACTTCAGGTACAAACAGAGATGAAACGCAAAGAGGTAGAACTGCAACAGGAGTTGGTTTCACTTGAACATTTTAGCAAGAAAGTCTTTGATGTCACATCTCGATTGGCCCAAACAAATAAAATACCTTCAGAACAAGCAAATTCCAATTTTGCAATCTGCAATAAGATATCAGAACTAATAAGGAACGGTGAGGTATGTGAATATTCAATGTCTTATTTTAATAAAAAATAAATTAGTATCAGTGAAATATCTCTAATAACAAAATAATATAAATAAACTACAGATAAAAACCAGAAAAGATTGTGAAACGTATTATGGAGACATTCTCGAAATTTATCAACCAATAAAGAGCTTGGAAGAAGAACAAAATATGGTTAGAATAAATTATTTCATTGAGTTTTATTTAGTGTTATTTCAAAGCATTATGTATAGTAATTGCAGCATATTTTCTAGGAAGCTGAAAAAGATCTGACCGATTTTGTTAAAAATGTCAAGAATTTGACTTCCCGTATTCAAGGTATGCCTAACAATAAATAGCTTGTAAATTTCTGTCATAATCATGTCGGTAAGTGACATTTACATTAAACTTGCATTCTTGCAGATCCGAATTAAGGTATATACATTGGATTTTCATGTTTATATTGCGGCTCTTTGCAGTAATAAAATACGAAATGCGGCTCTTGGTCTCTGACCGGTCGGCCCCCATGATTTATTGGATTTGATGAAATTAAAAAACAGTGTCTGGAATAATCGTATTTGTACTATACCCTGCTTACCAGAAATTACCTTGTACCTACCATTCGAAATGCTTTCCTTGTGTAACATAATTATTTTTCAAATTTACATAAGTTACCTTTTTATTCGTCATCCACTTTGTTATTTCTTCACACTTTTATTATCATTATTGTAAATGTCACTAACCGACATGATTATGACAGAAATTTACAAGCCACTTATTGTTAGGCATGCTATTTAGTGGGTTTGAACAATACTCTTCAAATTTGTATGTCGTAGCAGCTAATTGAAGAAGTTCTTTGACATGGGTCAGAACAGATCAATGATTTGATTTAACACAGATTCGCATACGTATGTTGACCCAAACATTGACAATATACTAAGCGCAGCGCGTTTGGCATTGGGGTATTTTCCCACTGGCATGCTTTTCCATAAACATTGGTCCCTTTCCTCAAATCGCATTTCGGTTGATTTTCCTCATAAATATCGGTCATTTTCATCCAAGTTTCAGCCTCTTCTAGGTGACTTGGACCAGAGAGAATTTCGAACAATCTGTCTCAGAATTAAATGAGTCGTTGACGACGTAATCTGTAACGTTTCCGCTAAACGCCGTTTTGCTATGTTAGTGTTGCAGGGCATCTCCTACAAAAATTTGATTGTGGCGTAATAATGGACCACTGAAAAGTGAATGGCGTTCACCAGTGGTTCTCAAAGAGGGCGTCGCGACGCCCAAGTGCGTCGTTTTACTTTTTCTAGGGCGGCGCAAAACTTTTCCTTTTTTGCGGAATTATACCTACCTACGGTGCGTAGACAAAGTCAAACTTCTCGTTATTATTGTTTGCAATATCACTTGAAAACTGGGGAAGACTGTCGATTTAAAAATTGTAACGATCAACGTTATTTATATGGGACGCAATATTATATTTTATTTTTTTTATTTTTTTTCCAATTTTACGCGTGACAACGATGGGCCACCATAGACCTCCCTAAGGTCATGTTCAATTCAATCTTCTTCCCATTATGAAATCACACACACACACACACACACACACACACACACACACACACACACTAGGTAGGCTTGAGTCATGCATGACATTCATTTTTTATCCTTTTATGAACATGGACGTATAGAGCGTTGTTGAGCAACGTTCAGCACTTCGTCTGCGTGTGGACGCAAACGGATATTCAATATTGACAATGCGGCAGTTTTCTTCGGGCACAACTTAAATAAAACTCATTGCAAAAGAGGTCACGGAGAGTCACAACTTGAACACATTTTCAAGGCATCGCAGTACCAAGAAGTTTGAGAACCACTGGCGTTCACGTATCTTAGACGTGAAAGACGAGGGCACGACAAATCATAATATATATGTTTAAGTGAAACATGATGAATCGTTGTTTGCAAGTTTTAGTAAAATATTAAATTTTTCCTTGAGCTAACTAAGGCGAATAGAGCCGCATGAAACCGAAGCAAGAGCCGCCGGTTGGCCACTCCTGCCATAAATGTATGTGGAAAGTATTTTTTTTAATATTTAAAAATGTTGAATTATTCTGCGATTTTATAATAGGAAGCGAATAAAAATGATTACGATTCAAGAAAGGAAGCATTGAGTAATGGTGCTCAACCTATGTTTGACTTGTTGGATCAAGAAAAAAAAGTATTTGGTTACAAGTTAAACAAATTTAAACTAATAAATCTGAAGGGAACGATGAAAAAATTGAATAATTCAGCCATTGAGCATTATTTAAGCAATTTTTCATTCATCTGAAAAATTACTAGATATCAATGATTGTTTTCATGTAATAAAACTTTTAAGTTACAGCAATTAGTCCGCTTATGATTTGTTATAAAACACGTCTGACAGAAAGATTTCATTTATTAAAAGGCTTTTTTTATTTTCATAATTTGTACTAATCAAAATTCGCTTTCCCTAATTTTTACAAAAATTAGTGTTTGTAGTTGATTTTGAGTTGTTTAGATCAACAATATTTTTTTAAGTCGAAGCAGAAGGAAACCAGCAACAGTTACGAAGTTATGTTACATGATCAGGAGAATACAATCACCTTCGACTCCTCATTTTATTATATTGCTCACTACGTATGCTAATACAGCAATTTTTCTAGGAAGCTGAAAAAGACCTGACAAGCTTCGTAGAATATATCAAAAGTTCGGCTTCCCGTATTCAAGGTAATGATGACTATAAAGATTCGATTTTCAACAAGTGCGATGAAATAACCAAATGGATCTCAAATAATAAGGTAACTTTAATAAACTGAATAAATTTAATGACAAGCTTTTTATTGACAAGTATGTATTTTCTGATCAAGTAACCTTAGTAATATTTCGAGTTATATCGCGGAAGTAGTACTTGACATTGTTTATTTTTCAAAACAAAAATGTGTTTAAACAATTGTAGGCAAGACCCCAATCATTGTACTAATATTTAATTCTTTGTATTGATATTTTCAATAATTAAACCCTTCTTTATTCTTTACGAATTGCTGAATTATTCTGAATTATTTTACCGAAGGAAACAAACAAAAAAGATTATGATTCAAAAAAGAGAGAATTGCGACACTTTTCCCAATCGTTGCTTAACATGTTGGATCGTGAGAAAAAGGTATATGATTACAAGTTAAATAAATTTAAACAAGTAAATATAAAGAGAAAATGCAACAGTTGCAACAAAAATTCGTTAATGTTCATGCTTTACATTACTCAAAATGTGCTCCACCCTATAATCAACAAAAATTAGATTTGAAGTTAAATTTTTGCTGTTGAGATCAATATGATTTTATTTAGTCGTAGCAAAAGATAACCAGTAAATTATGTTACATGAGCTTGAAAATACATTCACTTTCGACCTAAAAAGTTATGATATCTTTAGAGAAAGGTATTATTCCAAAGCATTACGTATAATAATCACAGCATATTTTCTAGGAAGGTGAAAAAGACCTGATCGGCTTCGTAGAATATATCAAAAGTTCGGCTTCCCGTATTCAAGGTATTGATGACTATAAAGATTCGATTTTCAACAAGTGCGATGAAATAACCAAATGGATCTCAAATAATAAGGTAACTTTAATAAACTGAATGAATTTAATGACAAGCTTTTTAATGACAAGTATGTATTTTCTGATCAAGTAACCTTAGTAATATTTCGAGTTATATCGCGGAAGTAGTACTTGACATTGTTTATTTTTCAAAACAAAAATGTGTTTAAACAATTGTAGGCAAGACCCCAATCATTGTACTAATATTTAATTCTTTGTATTGATATTTTCAATAATTAAACCCTTCTTTATTCTTTACGAATTGCTGAATTATTCTGAATTATTTTACCGAAGGAAACAAACAAAAATGATTATGATTCAAAAAAGAGAGAATTGCGACACTTTTCCCAATCGTTGCTTAACATGTTGGATCGTGAGAAAAAGGTATATGATTACAAGTTAAATAAATTTAAACAAGTAAATATAAAGGGAAAATGCAACAGTTGCAACAAAAATTCGTTAATGTTCATGCTTTACATTACTCAAAATGTGCTCCACCCCATAATCAACAAAAATTAGATTTGAAGTTAAATTTTTGCTGTTGAGATCAATATTATTTAATTTAGTCGTAGCAAAAGATAACCAGTAAATTATGTTACATGAGCTTGAAAATACATTCACTTTCGACCTAAAAAGTTATGATATCTTTAGAGAAAGGTATTATTCCAAAGCATTACGTATAATAATCACAGCATATTTTCTAGGAAGGTGAAAAAGACCTGATCGGCTTTGTGGAATATGTCAAGAGTTTGACAACCCGTATTCAATGTAATGATGATTATAAAATTTCCGTTCGCAACAAGTGTGAAGAAATAACCAAGTGGATTTCATCTAATAAGGTAATTTATGTAGATTGAAAAAAAATCATGTTACATAAGAAGAGCAATTCCAATGAAATATACGAGGTAATTTCTGGTGAAGTTATCTCAAAAAATAAGGTAACTTTAATAAACTTGATGAATTGTTTTTAATGACAATTATGTAATTTCTGATCTAGTAACCTTAGTAATATTTCTAGTAATATCGCGGAAGTTCTGGACATTTTTCATGTTAAAAGATATTATTTGTTTACACGAATGAGGCAAGATAACAATCAAATTACTTATATTTAATTCCATGTAGAGTTTTTTTTTTCTCGACAATTAAAGTTTTTTTTACTCTTTTTAAATTACTGAATTATTCTAAAAAATTTCATTGAAGGAACCAGACAAAAATGAATACGATACAAAAAAGAGAGAATTGCAAAAGTTTTCTCAATCGTTGCTTGACCAGGTGGATGAACAAAAAAAGGTATTAATTAACAGCAATCTAAAGAAAATATGAAGGAATCATGAAAGCCATATTTTAATTAATTTTGGCTTCGAGCCTAATGTCTGTTTTATGTAGATAGGTCTGATTTTTCAACCAATCGTTTTTATGTGGATATCAGACGCAGACGAGTATTTTGGGATGGTTGTTTCCATAAATATGAGCTATTATAATCGAGTAATGTAAAATGCTGCTTCATAACTATGATTAACTATGCAAAATAGATGTTGTCTATGTTTTGTCTCACCTATAGCCTGACTAGTTGTATTTATGTGAGACCCATGACTCAATATTGTCTTGCAAGGGACATTGCGCGACAAAGCGCGGAAAATCGTTTGAAGATTTCTCTTTAAAACTAAACACCTCGCTGACGGCGAAAAGTGACTATTATTCGGAATCAGCCGAAAAGGTATTCGAACATTCGAATATTCTATTCGTTTTGGACAAACCTGAAAATTAGAATTACTTGAAGTATGATTTTACAATTGATTTGCTAAAATATTAACGCCATCGGTTGAATAATTAATTTTACCTTCCTTTAATTAATTTTGAGTCTGACTCCAAATACTATTTGATTCGATTAAATTACTAGTATTTTACTAGATAATTACTATCCGCATTTATTCTTCTATAGAATCGTCACCGCGGGCAATATTTCCTCCAATAAATAATTTGGATTTTTAATTTTAATCGAAGTAAGTCTGACGGTATTTGACTACCTAAGTCCATTCAGTTTGAAAATGCTGTTCCGGTTGGTGCAAAATTTGTTAATAGGCGCTGTTTTAAGGACATTATCCGGCTTCGTAGCGATTATGTCTGACGAATCCTATCCTATTTTATAATTACTGAGCAATCAAAAACTGCTAGCACCTCATTAAACATTCTCGTTTCTGATGAAATAACAACTCTGTAAAAATCAGATTTGACACATCGTGGCCCCAACAAAGAGAATGAACCCAACAGTTTGCGATCAATAGCTCTGAAAGGGAAAGTTTTTTTTTTCTTGGTTAAGACGAAGATTATTTTCAAATGAGTCATAACTCTGACTAATAAAGTGTTTCGGTGACTTTTTGATTTCATGCATACTATCGTTATCGGGTGAATGAGATTAAATTATCAAGAGGAGTTTTTACATTTATATGATGACCTGAAGATTAAATACAGAAAGTTCACAGCCTTTAAATTTGCAAACGAAGTAACATGTGATATTAGGTTTAAAAAATTATAAAACCAAAGAAAATTGAGAAATAAAAATGGTAGAATTTTTTTTTTAATATTTATGTGGTATCACTGTAGCATACGTTCAAAAATGATTACCACAAGTAATTTGTCACAATTTTTATCGTAGCTTAAGTCCAAAAGTTATTACCACAGGTAATTTTCCACAATTTTTACTGTAACATATTTGAACACATTTTTTGAGGTTGCTGCAAAATAGGCTTGTACCCGTGTATTTACAAATTTTAGTTGCGGGATCGTGAAATATAAAAAATAAATAGTATAATTCTCCAGCACAACAATGATAGCCTCTGCATTGAGAATTTACACTGAGTAGTGTAAATTTAGTGCAGGGATTTCCATCTCATCAGACTTACTTAAAAATATCTTCATGATATACAGATTGCCGAGGCCAAAGCTAATCTTTCAGTGTATGTGAAAGAAATAATAAATGACCTAGACAATGATGCGAGCAGGGGATTTTTTCTTTCATCTAATCATCGAAATCAGTTTTACGGGTCTTGCGCTGAAGTTAGAAACTGGCTTAAAGAAACTAAGGTTTGATCGTACTGATAGTAATTAGGATTTATTTAAATAGTTGAGTTTTCGGTTTTATATTCCCTTCCTTTTTTTTAATTTGGTTGATTTCTTAAATTTACAAGAAATGTAATAATCCTTTTACATTTTTATTAGTACATTATTAAAAGATTTAAAGTTGAAAGGTTATCATATATAAAACCGCATTAGTGGCCCCGACTAATCTTAATTTGCACAGATATACAGAAAAATAATATTTGTGCTTTATATTCAAATATAAGAACGAGTAAAATAACGCACTTACATTATGAATGTATTGAGATACAAAACATTGCATCTTTTTTTCTATGCATAACAACTATAGTCGTGTATTGAGATAAATTTCTCATATTTATAGAATCCGTCATTGGAAGAGATAGAAAGAAAAACACAGCAGTTGAAAACCAAATATCAAGCTAGTGGTTTGCGAAGCAATAGACTGGTCCAATCTGACTGGTTATAATTTTCTTTTTGTATTGCATACTGTAATATTGTACATACATTGTCTTTGTTTCATTATATATGGAAATGAAAAACGACATAAACAATTATGATACCGAGTTTTATTTAATTTTACTTCATATTGAGGGTGAAAAATTTGAGGTGTGTATGAGGTGTGTAATTTATCATAATTATTGTTAAAAGAATTTTTATGATTGAATAGAATGTATAATTGACTAATCCTTACAATTACATATAATATTCATCATTGATAACTTTAAGAAATGCTTTAAGAATGCTAATTTTCAATGATGTCATCATGGTATTTTATTTAAGCGTTCATTTGTGGTATGATAGCTCTTAACTACAATCTTTAATAATTACCTATCTCCCTAGATGTAGTTGGTAATTCCGCAAAACAGGACCGACAATTACAGTAGTTCCGTAAATAAATTTCTGGTCTTTTCAATTAGTTATTGTAACCTTGGGTTTTGCTGCTCGATAACCCGCTTTGATTCTCCGCGACTTTCCTACCCCAGTGTAACTGTGTGATTATCATTTTAATAGAATATTATATAAGATAGATTTTTACTGGTTGAAAAATATAAACTAATCACATGAAATTTCAGATGTATTTGTCCCAGTTAAACCTATCCATTTAAGTCATTGGATTCCTTCCTTGTGAGCGATCAATTAATATTTATTTTATTTTTGTAACACCTAGTAACCCATGAGGATATCTATTTAGCGTAATAAATAGACTCAGTTATTTCAACGCCTTCAACATGTAAAATTAATATTGTATGTTGATATGTTACCAGGTAAAATTATTTATATTTTGCTTGTTGCTTTTTGGAATTTGATTCACTTTCTGAAACAATGTTTCATTCGACAATAAACACCAATGTATATTCAATATCAATCAAATATATTTTCATTGGGGCAGAGATAAAACAAAATGTCGGTCTTATCGCAAGTATGTCTTGAAAAATACCTTTTTGCGAGATAGTGCGCGAAATTTAAAAGGTAATTGAGCACAGTTGTTATATATTTTTGCAAATATGTAGAAAGTCATGGCCAGGAGTCTTATGTTACGAAATATTGTGTAGGTACCACCAACGGCCGGCAACCCACTTGCCTAATGTTAAACAAGTTCATGGACGCCATCTTGTGCCATATTTGGATAACGCAAAACAATAAAGTCTTATGGGAAATTTGCGTCGTGTTGACGTACCAAATCGATTAAGTCAGCTGTTATAAGGGCTAGAATGAAGCCGAAAGGTGGGTTTTGAACTTCATGCTAGATGTTACCTAAATATATAACGAAATTAGGAAAAAAAAACTATTTTATGCGTTAAATTTGACCACAAACACAACGTAGAACTATTTTTGGTCTTTTTTCGTAGATTTTATATGATACGCCAATTTGACGCTGTAAAATGTTTCCGCAACAATCCTACAATGTTACTGTTTTTCTAGCACAGCTCGGATCTGAGCAGTGGTCAGTATGGGTGCTTAACAGACGAAAAATATTAACCAGAAAATAGAAACGGCCATTGAAGCGAAGTTGAGTTGGCCGGTAATTTCGACAAATAAATACAACTTTTCATCTGTGACGTCATAAGGAACGCCATTGTCAAATGGTTAATTATGACGATTAGAATGGCCAACTTACTTCGCAAGCAAACATGAAAGAATATCAGCATATTCGGCTAAGATTCTCCTTCAAAATGCGACCTTCAAAATTTAAAATTTTTTTACTCAAAATTTTAGTGAGAATACCTATTATGTTTCAATAATTGTGTGCGAACTTCATAGGGCACCGTGTTAGGTGGCCGAGAACAATAAGCACAAGATGGCGTCCATTGTCTGAGCGTTGCTTCGCTTGTATTATATACACGTTTTGGGTACCACCACCGAGTATCCCCACACTCATGTGCCTACCAGATTGTAAATCTCATGTTTTCGGCCTGGGCCTGCATTGGCTCTGAAAAATGTTTTCCATAACTGTCTGAACTCAGTCGTCTTTTCCATATTGATGAAAATTGGCTATTGTTCCCGCTAACAAATGGAGCGGCGATGAGACGCAATTAGGTAAATTTCAGCGGCTCGGAACGATTCATTCAAAGGAGACTTTATTTGTCTATGTTTTTTCCGTGTTGTGTATTTTACTTCTACAAATGACTGACTGGTCTTTTTATTGAGTATCGCTTTCTTATACTTGGGCTGTGCTAAAACTGCTTGACCGAACTAAAAACATATCGACTTTTGATTGTCCGTAATATAAATATCCCATAGTCAAAATGTTGCGTCGCTTGGCTTATTTTTCAAATACAAAGATGCTTTCTTCAATTTAGACATTTATTTTTATCTATTCATCACTTAGTGCGAATAATTACTGAAAATTTACTTAATAACATTAACAGACTTTGATATACTTAGACCTCATCCCCGTTTGACATGTTGAGTTTTTTGTTATGAAAAGAAAAACAATCGAAAGTTACAAAAAATTTGAATGTTTAACATATTAATTGTAACAATATCGGCGTTGTAATAACGTATATATCTTTTATATACGACTAACACGAATTCTCAACGTAAATGCAAATTCAATCGAGAGTGTTTATAGCGCTCACTTATGATGAAATCTACTATTTTGATACACAACTATACATCGAAAAATGTACACAAATTGAGAGTCTTGACAAATTCTAAAACGGAGGCGCGACCTAAAAAGTTTGAGAACCACTGTCCTATATGAACTTTTAACCTACTTCCGCGTGGAACGATCAACGTATATTTATTACTTATCGATCTTAAGATCGGTAAGTATATTGATAGGTATTTGTCTGTATGTATGTCTGTCTGTATGTATGTCTGTCTGTATGTATGTCTGTCTGTATGTATGTCTGTCCGTTAGATGCACGCGATATCTCACGAAAGCGAGATTGAATCTGCTCCAGATTTTGCATGTGCATTCATCTTATCTCGGACCAGTAGCCTATTGATTTTGGGCAAATTATGTCGTATAATTAGCGAGTTATCAATCAATTATTGATATAGTGATCTAGATTTTTGTAAAGCGAGAGAATTTTGAAACCCGCCGAGTGTGTGTGTGCGATGCGCAGTGCGCAAGTTACAAGAGCGGATGAATCGAAACTGCAGTTTCTGTTTTGGGGGATCCCCTAACTATCGATCGATAAGTCTTCGGTTTCCAACCGATATTCTCGTTCTATTTTTTGACACGTAGTAATCCATAAATATTTCTATTTCGGGTAATATATATATGTTTATTAGAGTAGTGATAAAACATAATATCTGTCTCATCAATAGTGCGCGGTAATCCAATGTTAATGAAGCATAGCTTTGTTGTAATTTTGCAAACATATGAATAGGGCATCGTTTCTGATTTATTTAATTAATAAAAGGTATGGCTACTAGTCTTATGTTACAAAACTTTAGGTAGTCACCACCACCAAATACGACCACACTTATGCGCGCACCAAATTGTAAATCTGATGTTTTCATACCTGCATTGGTCTAACAAAATGTTTTCCAGAACTCTCACGACTGAGTCGTATTTCTCCTACTGCTGGAAATTGACTAGCGTTCTCGCCACTATTAAATTCAGCGGCGCAATACGGTATATTTCAGTTGCTTGAAACGAAACTATGAAAGTAGGGTACATTTACTTTATTCGTCTATTCTTTTCAATGTTGCGTATTTCACTGAACTCAACTATTTTATGCGGTACTCCCGATAAATTAAAGAAGGAATCGCGAGTTCCATTGTTGACGACAAAAGATCTTCTCAAATCATCAGAACGTAAGGTAACAAAACTAACTTTATTTTTTCAGTCGATTCCATTATAATTCGCTTCACATCGCATTCGTTTTTTAAATTAAGTTCGATATTTACAAAAGTTGTTGCTCAGTAAAACATATAAAAATTGGCTATTCTTGTTCACGTTATGTAGTAGGAAAACAAAGCATTCGATACATCGCATATTCCGCAACATTAAAAAATTGGCTGATTGTTTAAATTTCATAGTTTGCTTGAATTTCCGATTCTTTCGATGTGATTTTATCACCTTGGGTGTCGTTGGTCGAAATCGGTTCTATTTCCCCACGGTTTTCCTTGCCCAGTAAAACTATGATATTATCTTTTTTTATCAAATTCTGAATGTGAATTATTTGTTACTGGTTATAAAAAATAAACTTAATGCCTATTTTTTTCTATTGTTAGTTAAGTGACCGCACGTGCAAGCATACTCACATCAGCATAGTCATTGGTTTGAATTGTGATGAGTAATATTACCTACTTTATATGAAAATTAATTTTAGCTATAAGACTTAATTTTCGTTTTTGCGAATCAATTGATAATAGTTTTATTATAAAATTTGGTTTCCCACCCCAATTTCTTTGACGTTAAATGAACAGAAAATAAATACTTCTGAAATTTTATTTTTCAAATTTTATGTTAAACGTTGGTAAATTACAAGGTTAAAGTATTTATATTTTTTTAATTCATCCAACCATGGTGCTTTTTTATTTTTATTTACCTTCAAAATCACCTAATATAGCATTCTTAATATTACAAATGACATCGCCTATATATTCAACATCTACCAAATTTTCGTTTATAAAAGGGCTGTAAAATATCTTGTTTAACACAATATCGCACGGGGTTAAAAAAAAAATAGTAGAGTACACTCTTGAATGGCAAAATATTTGCCACAGTATAAATACGGCTCACTCGCTGGTAAATGAATGCCTCATTTTTAATCAATCATAGAGAGTAATTTTTACTGGACTTATATTAATTGATTTAAATATAATTTTGAGTACGGCAAACATATGCGCAAACATATAATACAAGTAACGTTGTTGTTTTTTGTTACATATAATTGTTATATTTAAAACATTTTTTTTTAACATTTTCTATAACTATCAACAATTGGGTCAATATAGCGTTTGAATACAGCGACACTATTAGTAATACCAAATTAAAGTCTTGAAGGCTATGGGCTCATAACGCAGATAAAGTACTTTCACTTATAGCTAATGGCAGTTTGTTGTTAGCAGTTTTCTTCCATATACTTGG